TTTCAAGAAATTCAAGTAAGGTCAGGAAGAGAAAATGYTTGGTGGCTCTTAAAGCTCTAATATAGAGTTACTAAATTATATCTCCTATTTTCTTAAAATATCTGATTTATTATTTCAGATACTTAATAAGCCTTGTCAGTCCACTATGTTCCACTGAACTTGCAGCCAAACCCAGATGGCTTGATAAATGGTTTCTTTCTTTAAATCTTGTGATGACTAAATCTTYATTTGATGCATTTTCTCATTTTTTTCTTTTTTAAGCAATTGCTAGTGGAAAAAATGCAGAGTCCCTGATCCCCTAGAAGAGCTAAAAAGCCATTTGGCTATGCTGAGGTTTCAACAAATCATATTTAGATTGCTGACATTGTTTTCATGGAAACCAAATAAATTGGTGCCACTTCCTGGGTTTAAAAGATGTGTTCATCTGGTGTGTATTTCATGTAGACCTTTTTTTTTCCCTCCCAAAGAAATATTTTAATGCTTACTTTGCTTTAGGCAGTAACTAGACAGTGATGTTTGTGCTGTGTTTTGTTTATAAAAGATACCTGCTCTGGTTTGCTGCAGATGACCACACCAGCAGGTGTTCAATTACAACTAAATGATCAGTGTTCTGCAACCATGTCTTTGTAGAAAGAATGAACTAAAAAACTGGAGATACTTCATTTAACAAGTAGTTAAATGCAAAGTTTTAGGGGAAGCWGTTGTGGTAACATCAGGCACCTTGACAGGAGTRTGATTTMGGTGTTTTCTTGTRCATTCATGATGAAGTGACTTGGCTCTCTCAGGGAGGATCACAAGGCTCCAGGAGACACAGGCTGGTTTGACTCAAACCTTTCTGAAAATGGAATAGTTGACAGTTACAAATAAAGTTACTTAACAGTCAACTTCCTGTGGTTTACATGCATTTCTGAATCAGGAGGAGGATGAAGGGCCGCAGATGTGTATATTCCATCTGAACAAAAAAGGGCATCTTTCTCAAGCATTCAAAAGGGACTGCTAAAAAATCCGATATCCTGATACGATTTATTGAAGTTTAAAACAGGCAGGGCACTCTAAGACCAGAAGGTCTTTGAAGCTGGTGTGTAGGCTGTTCATTCTGCTGTTTTGGGGTGTGCTCAAGAAGTTTGCTTTATTGCAGTACATCAATACTCATATGAGACATGTGCCCAARCCTGGTTTGATTTTGTCTCTTGTGTTGGCATCTTTGGGGCTGTACTTCAAGTGCAGTAGAGGGAAGTGGGGAGGGGATGAGTTGGGTCCTGCAGTGTCACAGGTCAGTGCTGACCTTCAGAAATCTCTATTTTCAAAATGCTCAGCTGTAAAGAGTACTTTAATGGGTTCATATGCATTTAAAGGAGGTTCACGTGTGACTTGTTTAAGACTGTCCAATCTAAATCTTCTTTCTGTCATTGTGAAGCCATTCCTCCTTGTCTGGGCACTCCAGACCCTTGTCAATAGTTTTTCCATCTTTCCTATATGCTCCCTTTAGGTACTGAAGACAAAAGTTTTGTCACCCTAAAATCTCTTTTCCAGGCTGAAGAGTCCCAATTCTCTCAGCCTTTCCTGATAGGAGAGGTGCTCCATCTCTGTGATCAACTTGGGGGCCTCCTCTGGGCTCCCTTCAGCAGGTCAAGGTCCTTCCTGTGCTGGGGACACAGTTTTAGCTAATCTTTAAGTTTCCATCCTATATGCTCACAGAACATGGGTGTGAAGACAAAAGGAGTGTAATGGAGAATTGTGGGGTTTTTGATAGGGGGGCAGAGCTCTCAGTTTCTCAGTTCTGTCTGAATTCTGTCCTTAGTGTGGCTCCTTTGTGGCATGACACCCACAGATGGATGGGTGAATGGCCACGTGGCAGGGCTGGGCATGGTGAGCCACACTGGAGTTAGTGGGATGGAGTGGGGAAACCCAGTTTCTTTTTTCTAGTCATTTTGGGTAAACCAGAGAGTTTACAGTTTGTCAAAAGGGAAATTTTAGATGACAGCTGTTGAATACAGCTGTTTAAATATGGGCACTGTCATGGATTTATTGAGTGGGATCTGGTTCTCTGTCTACCAAGAAAAAGCAGCCTAACCCAGAAAAACTGCCTTATTGTACTGTGGTGTGAATAGATCCTTTTCTTACTGATTTTTAAAAATAGGTGGTATTCATGCTTTCCTTASTTATTGTGTGCTGAGTTTTTCAGTGTGTTTCTCTTCATTATTGCATAAAATAAAAAACTTGACCCTTTGGGAAGGGATTGAAGCTTGGCTGCTTTGTAATGCTGCCTCTTTGAAGCTTGTTTAAATGGGTCAAAACTCTCTGGTTCTCCAGTACTGCATTCTGATACTGATCTGTTCAGGGAGGTAGTTTGCTGTTCAAGGGTATCTGTAGTTAGCAGAGCTCAGCCTACAGATAGCAGCATGTCCAGGGCACACAGAAAATTACCACTGCTCAGGGCCCTGGGTTGTTGCTGTGTGATAGGGAGGGGTGGCTGGAGTGGRATGGAAGAGATGATGAGTTTGAAGCTGTTTAAAGTTTTTGATGGCATGCAAATTAGTAAAAAACACTGAATGAATAACTTCTATCCTTAGATACAGAGTTGAGTCACATTGACAGCACTTGCTGTGCTGGATTTGTTGTCTGAACRGATTTTCCTGAGGGGAGAGCCCAGCAGCTGAGCTGATGGTGTGGAGGAGGGAAGCTGGAATGTCTCTCTGCTTTATTAGCTGTGTTATGTTGTAACTGATGGGTTTAATAGTTCAATCCCTTGAGTTTCAGCATGGCCACCTTGATGTGTGTCTGCCATTGATTGATAGGTGACAGCCCAGGAAATGGGATTGGCATCTCAGTGTTCCCTGGCAGTGACTTTGCTGCTGGATGCGTGGCTTTGCAGTGCTGCTGTGGCTGCAGGCCTGTGTGTTTTGCATTTGTGATTTCAGGAAATCCCYTCTTTTGGAAAGCTGCTTCTGGGGATGCTTTGTGACCTTTCCAGGCTGTGGTTTATTTGTCTGCTCCAGCTGCTCGATCCATTGCAGTAGCAGCAAGCCCTGGGACTTGAAGGAGAGGTAGTAACTTACACATTAACTGCAGAGTTAATGCATCTTTAGGGAGTAGGTATTGCTGTAAGTCGTATAAAAAAGCTCTCTTAAGATTAAAATGCATGTTTGTATGCACACACACACAAATACTTACAGCTTCTAAGGCCCAGGTATTCCAGAATAAATACCTCCACTTAYTGAGTCTGAAATCTGGTTGATTGGTATGTAGTCAGCCCTGTGGGGAAGGGAAGGTTGCCAGCTGCTATTGGCACCTAAAAAAGAAATTAAATCTGACCCTAAATTTTAGTTTGCCTTAATATTCAGCTACAGACAGTGGTTTTAGCACTTAAAAAGCCTGAATTCTGATCCTCTTACTCCTTCTTGGGAAGCTTGATGGATTTGTGCATCAGGGTTGTTTATTTTCTGTGAAATAGGAATGCTCTTCCTTGTATACCTCCCTTAGAGGATTGAGGCTAGAATAGATGCTGGAAAAGATATAATACTGCTGTCACTGCAAGCAGRTGCTGCTGTGTGCCACTAAAATGGTGTTACTGCTGCAGTTTGTCACCCCAGAGAAAATCAGGACAGCYGAGCTAAACAGGAGGTAAAATAAGGTTATAGAGATGTGTTGGACTCTCTCCCTGCAGGTGTGTCGAGCACAAGGCATGTTCCAACCAGAGCCCCAGTCGTGCCTCATTAAACACTCATGTTCAAATTGCACACTTAAAGGTGTGGTATCTACTTGTGTTATGTAACTTATTTTAGTAACTGGAAAAGTTGCAAAGGTGCCTTGCTGATRTGTCTGCCAGAACCCTTTTTTGGCCTGTTATTTGCCCTGCTCTGCTCAGGGTAGATGCTTAGATGACACAGTTGGATAGTGAGGTTTGATATTCTTCCTAGATAAGTTTGCAGAGTTCAGATTGAAGTGAGGGGAAGTTATCAGGGTGTAACTCCTGTCCTAATTCACTAATTCTGCATTAGGTGTAGTCAGCCSGGCCTCAGATGCTGCTTCATATTCTCATCAAGAAAACTCGGTCAGAACTACTCTTCCACCTGCAGAGTAAAATGAATAAATTTCTGCACTTAAAATGAATAAGTTACAGCTGATAATTAAAAGAAAACAGATTTGTGGTTCTGTAAGGGTGCTGAGAACCTTGGAAAGGTGCTTTCCTCTGCAGTGAATTCCATCAGTACATTCCTATTGCAAGTGAACTCAGGTGCAATAGTATCCATGGAAGAATTGCTCCTTGATCCCAGCACCCTGAGTTCTGCAGGGTGGACTGTTCCAGATTCAGGTTTACCATGAAAAAAAATCTATAGTTCCACATTACTGGAGGGATTAAAACCTGCAGTTACCATTTGCCAGGGATGACTTGAATCCAAAAGATAACCTAAATAGTAAATGTGATATCATGCACAGCAGCCTGGAGCTCTGCTCATCACTCCCAGAATAAGAAGTTCTGATCCAGCTTGGTGTCTGATGGGAGATTTGAGTAAAATGCTTTGTCTGTTGTGGTTTCTCATCCTCACCATTCCTGCACACTGGGGCAGTACCTGTGGGAATGGCTCCTGTGRCACTGCAGTTACAAATGAACTTTCTCTGGTGATTAATCCCTGTACCTGAATGCCTGTGTGTGCACTCTGCAAAGCCTCAGAGGAATTGAATGTTTCTTTTCATAACCAAGGTGTGGCTGCTTCATTGATGCTCCCTGTGGATAACACTTGGATTTATTTATCAAGTCTAAACTTGGAAAGAATGTGACTATTATAAATGTGTCTTTTATGCTTTTAAGCTTAAATATTAACTGGCCTAAGAATAAATCATCAGTTGTGTTCTTAGGATAGCTGCTTTTAAAAATGGCAGTGATTARAGCTTACAACACTTAAATGTAGGTTTCGATAAATTATCTGGACTTTAGAATGTAAACTATTGGGATCAAGGACGTCTCTTATTTAAATAACTGTTTGATTTGTTTTTAGGGGGAATCTGTAAAGTATTTCTTGGACAACTTGGATAAACTTGGAGAACAAGTAAGTCCTTTTTTATTTTTCTTTCCTGTCTTGAGTTTTAAGTAGTCTTTGTGATCTCTGGGTTTTAAATAGATGAAATTTAATTAGTGTCTACTGCAATAACTTTAGTTAACTCAGACTGTCGCATTATCTCAGCAGTTCATCACTGACATGTCAAAAACACGGGGCAATGCAAGGGCCAGGAGACTTTCTGGGAATAAAACTTCTGTCAAAATTGAACAAAAAACRAGTTMCAAATGCTTGTCCAGTCAGGAGACTGCTAAAGTAGCTTTTCAACACTGAATGGCATCCAAAAACAACTGGGTTTGGGTTTATATGTCCAGTTAAGAACAATGAGTTAAGTCAGTCATAGGTCAGTGKTACCTTCCAGTATTTTCTACTTTAACATAAGCTCAGTAAAGAAGAAAGTCTCTTTCCCTGGGGAAAAAGACTGAAATTTCTGTAGAATACTTTTTAGTAGAACTGTTACAGTTACAGTTGTGGATTGCAGGAATGGCATGTGGAAAACCTGCCTAGAATGGGATATGCTGTTTGAACTCTGTGGGGAGGCAGTTTCTCCATGGTCATTTCCAGCTGATGATAACAAATGAAGGAATCCAAACCACTTCAGTTAAATTCTGTTACATCATGCTTAATTTCATTTTTCTTTTTACCAGATAAAATTAAATTCTAAGCCAGACTATTTTTCTGCTTTGAACTGCCATTGTTCTAACTAAAACACTGGTGATCATTGTGCTTCCCAGATTTCTGGCTTGAGAGCTCCAGCACTTGCTCTCTGAATTTGGATTTGGTCTCGAGTTTTAAGAACTGCACTTACATTAATRAACTGCTAAACTCTGCCAGTGTCGTGGGCTTTGAATCCAGTGCTATTTGAGCTTCAAATGTTGTTTTTTTTCCCAACAGTAGGGTTTTACAGCTTCATTTCAAAGTTTTTAATTTAGAAACTTTGGTCCATTCTTCAATTAAATTGTAAAACTTAGTAGCAAGTTGGTTTTTTAAAATATTCTTATGTAAACACACTTACTGCAGGTCTGATGTTGCTGTAGGAGTGCTCTGAAACACAGCTTTTCTGGTTTCAAGTTGGAACAAATGGTGTTGAGAATCAGAGGGACTCATTGGGATCTGCTGTTGTAGAATRTATTAAATCTTTGAGGAAAAAGGTGTAAGTTGAGTTTTGTTAATGAGTGAAAGATTTAATAGGTTCTTCTGATTTATTCTTATCTACATGCAAGATTGTCTAATGATTGTTTCCCCAAATTCTAAATATAAATATTTGACTGTTCTTATCTGATGCAACTGGGCTGACTTGCAGCTAAATTTCTTACAAACACATAGATCTGCAATTYGTGTGGCTCTTGCCAAAAGGGAGCTGATAACAGCATGGAAGGAAAAGAACTTAATGTTCAGATTTAATCAGATCAGCAAAATAGGAGTATCTGACAGGCAGACATGCGTGGGATCTCCTGGATTCCTTGCAACTGTGTGTTGCTATTTCAACTGCCAGTGCAGACTGTACGTATCCAAAATACCTCACAGAGAGACTTGGCTTTCCATCTTGTGATTGGATCTTAGTCATGCCTTAAATTGTAATTTTAGCTAGGCAAACAGGGATGTGRTAGCCAAAAGAGCTACTGATAACTAAAAGAACTCCTTTAGAAGAAGCAGACTGCAGTGACTTTGAGGAAAGGAGATAGGAAAATCAGGAAGAAAGCATGTGTTCCAAATTAATGTCAGTATGAGRATGCTTGAGGGAAAAACACTTATAGACAATAGCAAAACACTGAAATAACTTGGAAAATAATACTCAGTGCCATCCAAGGAAAAGTCTCACCTGATACYGCAGTCTTCAGATATGGATCAACACTGAGAAAGTGGCACACTGCTTTTATTCCAAGGATCTGGGCATGAGGTAGAAAATGTAAATGTCCTTCAAAAAGATAACTAAAATACTGTGAGGTTTGTTGGGAGTTGTTGTGTTTGGTTTCCTGTAGCCAGATGGTGGCTTGATACCAGCACTGAACTCTCCAAGCCCTCAGTTGCTGCCTGTTGCATCAAGCAGCCAATATCCAGTTTAAAACATGGAYTGGTTTGGGTTGGAAGGGATCCTAAAGATATCTAATTCCACAGTAGGTCTTGTATGCATGTAGAACTTGAAAGCACTTGAAAGGATTCTCTTTGTGGCTGCAAGTGTGGAAGGAATTTTCAATGAGTAATAGCACTTGAGAGGGCATTTGTCAGGAATTCTAGGGATAAGCTCCTTGTTCTTGAAGCTTGACTGAATAAACATTACAGGCCAACTCCCAGGAGAGTTTACTTTGTGCCCTTGTTTCAATRTTGAAGGTACATATGACTTTGGCTATTATATTAATTGCTTTTGTTTATTTACATAATTCAGTCATTTCAGTCACTCCTGAGCTTTCCTAAGACTTTTTGGTTTTGTTCTGAGAGTTTGAGACTRACTTCCTGAAAAACAAAGAATGTCCATTCCCCTTTGGAAGTTGGAGTAAGTGCTGAACCTGTGACACTCTTGCCTGCATGTTGACAGTGACATTTGATACAGTCTCTGCACTGGTTTTGCTGATAGTTTTCCTCTATAATTTTGGTGGAAAGCACCCAAGATAAATTTAAAAAAAAACAAGAAGTCTTATCATCCTTAAAAGTTACTCAATCTGACAAGGGGGTGGCAGCACCTTTCTTGCTCAGTTTGGAGAGAACTTCATGCTTCTTTAGCAGTTCTCTCCTCCAGATTTTGGTGGTGTGGGGTTTGGATGTGTAACAGTTCTGCAGCAAAGGCGGCAGGGTGGGGAGCCTGTGCTCCAGAGCTGCTTTGTAATTCGTGCCACGATAAAAATCAGTGTCTTAGTCATGGGCAGCTCGGAAAAAGCAACTCGGACTCAGACAAAGCTGAGTTTCACTTTGGAGCTTGCATGGTAAAGCCAAATGAYCCTTGAGTTTTTGGAATGTTACACTCAGTTCATGATTTTTAAATTTTATTTTTGTGGCTTGAATTTGCCCAGCTGCCCAAAACTTGGGATATAAGTACTGAAATAGCCATGGAGCAGTGTGCTTGTTCCCCCACCCAGCTGACTGGTTGAATCAGACTTCCTGGAGCATGGTCTTATACAGCTTTATAAAAGCTYCAAGTGTGGGAACTGGCACTGTCAAAGGAAGATCATAGATCATTCACTTCTTAAGAAGAGACTGAAATTCCAAAACCTAAATCATGTTCTCTGAAGTTGTGAGAAATGCTGGAAAAATGTGAGGAAGAGTTTCCATAACAAGTTTTTTCAACAACAAGGTTTTGAAGTCCAGCACAGGCAGCTCTGTGGTAGAGATGCACTTTGCAGATAGCAGAGAGACTTGGACCRTAGACAAAAGTGTAATTCTAGGAACGAAAAAATCCCCAATCTGAGTGTTGAATTCCATACCCTCAAAAGCTGACTAATAAGAATTCCTTTTCCTGTAGCRTCTGCATCCGTTGATGATGTTCCTGTAACAATCAAAAAAAATGCAGGCTCTTGAATACCTCTTAAATTCTGGGGAAAAGTGGGCTGGAGGACTTCCTGCTACAGCTGTCTGTGCATCCCCAGCTGGGAGGGCACTGCTGTCCCCAGCTCCCAAGAGTTTCTTCTCCTGTTCTGCTCATTGCACAGTAAATTTTGACAATGTGAGCTCATTGGAGTGGTGCGGCAGGATATAAAGATGCGTGGCACAAACACAGGAAACTGCTTAGGTTTCAGTTTTCAGGCGTAATTGATTGCTTGAAAGTTATTTAGTGGAGCAGCTGGTTTGTTTCGGGAAGCAGTCATGCAGTTTGCAGGAGAGAGGGAGGAATGGAGAACCCACAGCTGGAATAAGAAATCCCATATTTTCTAAAACAGGTTTGAGAAACCTGTTTTAGAACCCATTAGCTGCAACTGCAGTGTTGGCAGCCAGTGTTGTGGGAAGAGAATGAAGGAAGCATGAAGTGATCAGAATGAGGGAAACTGGCATGAGGAATTGCTGGTTCACCTCCCAGGTTGGTTATGGATCTTTATCATGTGGCAGAGGGAAAGCTTAAGTTCTGAATTTAGTATTGGATGTGTTTCCTGCTTTGGACTTTAGCTCTTTCCCAAAAGCTCCAGTGTTAGCATGGAAATCCACAGCCATGTCTTTGTGTTGAAAAACTTGTGCTGTTCCACTGCTRTGCCCATACCCACAATCTTATCCTAATCAGAAAACTCTCCTTGCTTTTGTAGGATTACCTTCCCTCACAGCAAGATATCCTGCTGGCACGAAGGCCGACCAAAGGCATTCACGAGTACGACTTTGAAATCAAAAATGTCCCTTTCAAGATGGTCGATGTGGGCGGCCAGAGGTCGGAGCGGAAGCGGTGGTTCGAGTGCTTCGACAGTGTCACATCAATATTRTTCCTCGTGTCCTCCAGTGAATTCGACCAAGTGCTCATGGAGGACCGGCAGACRAATCGCCTGACGGAGTCCCTGAACATTTTTGAAACAATAGTCAACAACCGGGTGTTCAGCAACGTCTCCATCATCCTCTTCTTAAACAAGACGGACTTGCTCGAGGAGAAAGTACAGAAAGTCAGCATCAAAGACTATTTCCCAGAGTTTGAAGGGGATCCCCACTGCTTAACAGATGTCCAAAAATTCCTGGTGGATTGTTTTCGCACGAAACGCCGGGACCAGCAGCAGAAGCCCCTGTACCACCACTTCACCACTGCTATTAACACAGAGAACATCCGGCTAGTTTTCCGTGATGTTAAGGATACCATCCTGCACGACAACCTCAAGCAGCTGATGTTACAGTGATGTGCAAAGAGACTTTTTTATTTCAGTAACTCTTGTGTGTTGTTTTTTTAACTAGAAGTTTACAGCAGGAGTAGAGAAATCCAGATCCTGTCAGACTTCTTGATATGTGGCTAAAAGCTGCTGCTGAACACATTATTGCCAATTTCTGCAGAAATTCAGGCTTAATCTCTTCCAGTGTAGCTTCAAGTTGACTCAAGTTGTAATTTTATAGCAGACCTATGCCTAAGTTACCTGTAAAGTGGTAAATTTGACCTTTTACAAACACGTGTATTATCCTAGAAAATCCAGAATTCCAAGTCCAAACTTCAATGAAAWTGTTACAATTATTAGTCTGTGGCAGTAATTTAAGGTGGGGTGGGGGGGAGAATCTTTTCACATCWAACTTCATTGTGAAGACTGTGATACCGTAGCTGACTTATGATTTCTCAGGTCTATTTTTGGTTAGAAATCCCATAAATCCCTTGCTGGAATCATCTCTTTGAAGCGCAGGTTCCTGGCTGTAACTTACTTCCTTTTTAAGTATAAATCACGGCGTTGGGTTGGAATAGGAGATGCTTTTAAAAATACTTAAAATTGGGAGTTTCAGACATATCTATCAGGAAGTGCTGAGTGCAGTGGTGCTGGAGCCATGGCAAAGCACAGAGCACTCTGATCAATCCTCTTGGCATTCTGATGTGGGAAGAGGGAAGCAAGCCCAGCTTGTGTTTTTTATCTTCACTGAGCAGATGTTCCCTATGGGTGACATGTCACCTGTGGGTCACCTGCACCTGAAGAGCTTTAACTTAGCACTGGTTTATTTGAACTCCCTGCCTCCTTGCCAGAGCCTCCTGTGAGTCAGGAGYGTTTGGTGATGGAGAGAAGGACTTGCAAACCTAAGTGCCTCCTTGTGTTCTGTCCTCCTCTGGCATTTTCAGTGGCCTTATGAATTCCCAGCAGAGGCCTTGTGTAGCTGACACCGTGCAGATGAATGTTTTCCTCTAAAAAAATTTTAAAAGTGTCCCAGCAGAATGTGCTTCAGCTGATGAGGTTCTTTTTGAGACTTTCCAGTTGGGTCTAAGCAATCCTAAGTGTACTTGAGCCAAATACGTTGCACAGCATCTCCCAGARTGCTGCTTGTGACTATTTTACCCAAAGTTCTAGTGCAGTTTTGTTTATTTTTCTTATGGGAAGTTGTTAGCATTGCCATGTGATAAAAAAWRATGATAATAATAATAATAATAAATAGTGAAAATAAAGCAATCCTCATGTACCCCACAGCACACTGCAAAAAGAGAATGAGATTGTGGTGTAAAAATCAGTGTCCCTACAGTGTTTCTGCCAGGCTGTAGTGTCATGTGGGCAGTTCAGCTGCCATTTGCCCCATGGAATTGGCCAGTTCCTGTGGATCATGCTGGTGGCCAATCCTTCAATACATTTTTATTCACATCCCACAAGCAGGGGTGACGTGGTGGTGTCRCTGCTGGGAGCAGTGGCCCTGCTAGGACATAGGAAAGCTGCCTGTCTGCTGAACTTAGCCTTTACTTACTGTGATTGTAAGTTGTATTAACATCTCTGTACCTCGTTCTCCTGGCAGTAGAAGGGGAATAGTGTATTTTTATTTAGTTAGGTGCTTTGAAAGACCTCTATTTTTTTATATCATCCAGTGAATAGTCATAGGTTAGTCTGCGATTCTGGCCATCAGGCGAGGAAAGAATTCTGAAAAGAGCTTGGGAAAAGTCACAGTGCAGAGTCTGAGCATAATCCAAAAGTCAGCACTGATGTCAGGAGGATTAGTAGAATTGTGGATGGGGATATTTAATGTAGATTTTGCCTCTACTGGACATGGATTATTTCTGATCTGGTGTGTTCAGGTTATATGTGAGCAATACAAGAAGGAGGATGAAGCAGAGACCTCAGGAAAGAGTGGTGAGGCTCTTTCAAGGACTGGACAACACACCTGTGATGGGAGCAGAGGTTCTTCTTTTCCCTCTTCAGAGTATTCTGGTTGATATGGCTGGGCTATAAATGCTCCATGAGCAGACACAAACCTCTGGTGGCCTCCCAGTCCTGGCCTGGAAAGCAGAAAACAAATCCATGCCTTTGGTTGTCAACAAGAGGAGGAGTTGGGWTGGTCTTTTCCTTTGCTGACAGTTGTCTGAACAAGTGTCTTTTCAAAAAAAGAGATTTATTTCTGATTAAAACAATTAATTTGGAGAGGTCTGCAGTAGGTGTTTTGGAGGGTGTCAGACCAGATGATTGCAGAAGAGACTAAAGGCTGGTAGTGGATGATAGGGTGAGTACCAGGGATTTGTCTCATCTAATTTATGTGAAGTGTGAATTTATGTGAATTTTTTGTTCATGAAACCTGTTAATTTACTGAAGATCCTCAAAATTTATGTCAGTCTAAGGATGTAGCCAAGATCACCCAGGCACTGGGCACTGCTGAGCTTAGCTAAAGTGGGGGAAATACTCAGCAGCTTCTCCCCAGAACCACCACAAAAATCCCTGGTTTTAATCCTTTCAGATCATTCTCCCTGTGAACCCCAGGGCCTGTAGGAGAGGAACAAGGGGGACCCCAATGCTGGGTCGCTTGTAGGCCCTGGTAGATAAAGCACTATATGAATCTCAGGCAGAAATGAATTGTTTGAATGAAATAACTGAGTCAAATCACTCGGGTTTCCCACTCCCAGTTGTTGAGAGGGGTGAGACAACGCACCTGGATGTTCCTGTTTACATGGTTCCTGTGTTACCCTGCAGCCAAAAACCCCAAATCAATGTCCTGTCCATCTTCAGGCTCACTCCTCATGAGCTCCCTCAGTGGAGCTCACCTTGGACTGTTGTATTTCCTTTTAGATTTGTTTCTAAATATSATTTGTTTATGGCAGGACATGAATTTGGTACAAGAACTGAAGGGTTGATGCTCTGAACAGGCTGAGTTTTATCCTGAAGCAACCAAAATTACAGTTTGCTGGTGAGAGTGAAGCTTCYTTATGGAAACCAGTCTGTGGTACAAGGTTGGGGTGTATTCCTAGTGAAGGTGGSAAAGCAGGTAGAAAGTGAAGTTTTCCAGAAAATCAAGTTTCCCAAAATTCCTTAGTTCTCTTTGCTGGAGTGAGCTGTGTTCAAAAGATCACTGACTGTATGGAGATTAAACCACTGTCCTGTACTTGAAGGTGAAATCGGTGTTTTAGTGACTGTTCCCTGCTGCAGAGTGTTAAACYGAGATGATTGATACCTAAAAACTGTGGCTGTTCATCAGGGCTTTAAAAATKTCACTGTTTTTTCTTTATCTGTTGTACGTGGGAGCATAAGCCATCAGTTTGTGTGAAACCTCAGCTTTCTTCTACAATGACAGCTCTTAAAAAAAAGTCAAGTTGATCTCAAAGGCTGTTTATGGGGCTCGTTTGTGAGTAGCTTTCAGTTTTTCCCATCARCATTATTCCAGCAAAGTGATGGGGGTGTTCCTGGTGGATCCCAGCCTTTGGGAGCAGCTCCCAGTTGAGCTGTCCCATATGTCCTTGGCCACCAGAACATCCCCCTGGTAATTCCTCCTCCAGGACGGTTGCAGAAGTTTGGTTTTCCAGCACCATTCCTGTTCCATGCCCACGGGAAGTCTCGTGCCGAATCGTTCACCAGTTCACTTTACAGGTCTTGTCTCTCTGATGGTACCATTAACATAGTTTTTAATTACACAGCATTGCAATACAGTGCCATTTTGCAATTTCTTTGCGTTGTACTTGAAAATAAGTTGAATTGCAGACTATTTAAAACCGCTTTCCTGCGCTTTCAGTAGCAGTGAGAGCTTACCTTACATGAAGCCTTTATGTAAAAATATATTTTATAACAACCTCATAGATCTTTAACAAAACCAAGATTTGTATTAGCTTTGTATAAATGTTTGTGGCTTACAATTTTATATGTTTAACTTTTTATAAACTTTCCAGGGACTACTTTTTATTGTAAATTTTTTTTTCCCCTCCTTGCTTTAGTTTCAGATTGGCAATAAATTATTTCTAAGGGAGGTCTTAGAAGAAAAAGCATCACTTCCTTTTTATAAAATGGTTAAATTGATTCATAATTTCGAACCTCTTACACTTGCTTGTACATTGCTCTGTACATACTCTCCAAAAGTGTTGCCTTTCAGCTATTAATATTTGCCTTGTGTACAAAAATTACTGACGATGAATAAACATATACAGCCTCACGGCRGTGTGATGAAATCATTTTTTCTGTTTAATAATGAGCCGAGACAGCCAGCTGACTCTTTTTGTTGGTTGGCAGAGCCCAGCTGCTTTGCTGCTGCAAACACATCTTGTGTTTCAAATAAAATATGTAACAGAATCAAACAAACTCTCTGCTCAGAAGGCTCCTCCAGGTTCTGCTCGGCCTGATGAGTTTGTCCCCGGCAGGGAGGCACMAGGAAATTGCTGACTTGCACTTGACAGCCTGTTTTGTGCTCAATATTTAAAATATTGATGGCACTYGGGTGTGTTCTGCGACAAACCTTTATGAATTATGGATCTTGGTATGGCAGAGTTGATCTTTTTTTTAGCTCTTTTTGACTAAGCCAGCCTCTGCCTCTTGGAGAAATGGCCCACTGGCTGCAGTGTGAAACAGAACTTTGCAATAGAACATTGATTTCTCCTCAGTTTTTTTAGGCCTGAGATGGTTCATTTTCCACCAGAGCCTGTGGATTTGGCTGGCATGCTGTGGACACTAAATCCCCAGAAATACTCACCCTTGGTTATAGAGTTAGAGCTCAGCATTGCTGCTGGTCCTGCTCGGGGGAATCCAGGCACTGAGGAATTCTCAGTGTGAGTGATGTGGGTGAGTTGGAGCCTGGATGATCCCTGGAGCCTCCTCACTGAAATGAGTTCAACACCTGCCAGATGCCCTGGAACTCAACTCAGCTCTGTGTGCTTTGGATTCCAGGTCCTGCCTGTCCTGGGAGAGCTGGTTCTGAGGAATCTCCACCTCATCTCTTGACCATTTTTCACTCTGGAGCAGTCAAATCAGCTGAACACTGATGTTCCTCTGGCTTTGAAACCCAGGAGTTTTTTAACCTTTTTTTTTTTTTTTTATCCCATTTCCTGAGATGCCCCCTCAGGAGTAAAACTAAACCCAGCTAGAACTCAGCTGAACAGGTTGTTTCTATGGTTTTTTAAAATCTCAATATTACAAGTGAAATTGCATCACTTTTACCTGGGCTTTTGGTGAATCTCTTGTGGTCTAAAGCCCTGAGCAACTTTTGATAATGGAAAGTGTCCCTGCCTGTGGCRGGGGGTTGGAACTGGATGAATTTTAAGGTCCTGACCCAAACAGTTCCATGATTCTATGATTATTCTGTGAAATAATTAATAACATGTAAATTATTTGTAATTTCCCCTTAGAAGTGGTGTTGGACCATTCAGCAGTGATTTCTGGGCTCTGATCACCTCACCACGCTGATGTGCTGGGGGCTGAAGTGGTGGGGAGAGCAGAAGGAGGAAAAAAGACCAAGTTGCAGGATCTACAGGAGTAAGTGAAGTTTGCTCACATTTGCAACACTTTTGATTTACCGAAACACCTCATTGCAGTGCTGAATGTAGGTTGGGTGTTCAAGCCTCTTCCTTCCTGTTCAAGCAACTCAGTGACTGCACAATAACTGCCAGGAGGGATTAAAAATGCAGCAGGGCTGTGCCCAAAATGTGCCTGGCTGCMCTGGCAGAGCAGGGGCTGAGTTTGGAGCTAATTCCTCTCAGGGAGCAGAGGGCAGAGGGCTGAGGAGCAGCTGCCAGGAGAGCAGATCCCATGGGAATGGGGCTGGAAACGGGACAGGAGTTTGTGCTGAACCAAAACAGGAGATGSCAGTGAGGTTCTTCTGGCCCCTCCRCCTGATAACACTGACCACTCGTGTTTTCCACACCAGCTGAGATGTTTTCAGTGTATGTGAAATGGGAATTACTCAATGAAATTGCTAGGAAGGATCCAGATGGACTGAGTCCCGCAGGGCTCTGCAGCAATGTTTTATTTGTGCCTTGACTTCAGATGCTATTTGATTTCCTTTTCTCTGCTTTCTTCCCTGGAGTTTTTATGCACATGAGGGACAAGACATTGCTTCCACAAAGAGCATTTTCCTGGGTTCTGGGGCTCTTGCTCACGGTCACTGCTAAGAGCAKCTCCCCTTCCCCATGAAATGCTCCACAGCAGAGCCAGTCCTTAGCCCAGCTTCAGTAAACAGGCAGCAGATGACTCGGAGATAAGGAATCCAAACATCCCAAATGAGATGTGCAGYGAGAGGGAGCCAGCAGTTTGATGAATTGCTGAGCACCAGATCTGACAAACCTGGATTTGGGGCAGGCTGCTGCCAGCTCCATGCAGAGTTGGTGTTGAAAAGCTGAGCCTTTCCAAGCTGTGAGCAGCAGGTCSTGTTTGCTGCTCCTCGGGCTCTGACACTCTGCAAGGTAAGGAACACGTTTGTCAGCAGATCCAGGCCGTGAATAAATCCCATTTCTCTGCCTGGATGGCTGGAAATGTGGTGACCCACTAAGATGATGCTGATCAGTGCAGACTGGTTTTTATTAATTCAGGACTTGCAGAGCGGGAGGAAACACAAGATCCTGTGCATCCACAGTGAGTTTTTYCCACTCCCAGTATTCAGTAGTGGATCTTGCCTGTATAAAAGATGCTGATGCCCTTCCCAGGATTCTGCCCATCTTAGAGCCCAAATCCCTGCCTGATGTCCAAATCTCTGTCCTGTCCAGCCCCAGGCCAACCTTGGGTGGCTCTGAGCCAGGCTGCAGGTGCTGTCCTGTCCTCTCTGCTGTTTCCTGCAGCCTGGAACCCAACCAACTTCTCTGATGCACCAAAAAGCCACCTTTTTTTTTTTTTTTTTTGTCCCAGAGGGGAAGCAGCAGTGGAAAAAAGGAGCAGAACATTTATTTTAACATTCCCACTCCCCCAGACGGCCTTTGTGCTGCTCAGGGGCTGAGTGACTGTTTCCAAGCTGACCATATTCCGTGGCAGTGCTGTCTGTGGGATGACAGCAATTGGGAATAACTCAGCTCCAGGGAGTCACCCACCTCCAGCCCTCCCTGCATCCGAATGTCCCCGCAGTGCCACGGCCAGGAGGTGCCATCACCACCCCCACACAAGGTTCAACTCCTCTGGGCATCCCCAGTCTGTGCCTGGGAGCTGTTTTCAGCTTTTATTGGAAGAAAACCCAACATCTATCAATGATTCACATCTTTCTGGGGTTGCCTAGGCAGGATATTTTGCATTTTTTTCTGTATGAGCTGATTCCCTTATATTGATCCCAAATCTAACAGCTGTGAATTGATGACTCTTTCCTGCTGTAGCCTCCATTTTCCCTGAAGAAAGCAAACAAAAGAAATGCAGCAAAATCAGCATTTTCAAAGTGTTATTAACATCAGGATTTTCAAGGAGACAAGTTGAGCAAGGCCTCAGCACTCTCAGCCTTCTTACATCACGTCTGGCATTTGCTAAAAATTTGTCTAAGGGGAAAACTTCCTCTTTTGTTYCTGCATCTGACCCACAGAGACTCTCCTTCCCTCTCCTCCCATGCCCATTTTTAAGATTTGAGGAGAAAAGGGGATATTTTTTATTTTATCCYCTGCTGGGCTCCACAAGCTGCCTGGGGAAGGGAGGCTTTGCAGCAGATCCTGCTGATGGAACCACATCTCCTCCCACAGCAGGAAACCCTTCTGCTGCTCCTCCTCTCAAGGTGAAAAGTTATTAAACACTTTTTTTTTTTTGCCAGCATGTGGCAAATCCTAAATCCTCCTCTCGTTTCCACTGAGAAGTTGGCTTTCATTGTGCTGTGAAGCTGTGCAGAGTCATCTCTGCTGTTTTCTGGGGATGTCACTGGGGGAAAGGCTGTGTCCTCACCACTGCAAGGACCTGATTGTGATCTTCCAGTCCCTGGAGGGAGCCTGAAAAATGGAAAATGAACATTTGCAAGGAGCTGGAGTGGCAGGACAAGGGAAGATGGCTTCAAACTGACAGAGAGGGCAGGGTTGGATGGGATGTTGGGAAGAAATTCTTCCCTGTGAGGGTGGGGARGCCCTGGAATGGAATTCCCAGAGAAGCTGTGGCTGCCCCTGGATCCTTGGAAGTGCCTGAGGCCAGGCTGGACGGGGCTTGGAGCAGCCTGGGACAGTGGAAGGRATGCCACTGGATGAGCTTTGAGACCCATCCAACCCAAACCATCCCACGATTCTGTGATCCCTCCCTTTAGAAATGCAACCCCAGCTGCCTGAACTGAAAGGTTTGATGTATGGAGAGTATTTAAACATTTATTACTCAAATTAATTGCCAGAGGGAGCTCCTCTCTGAGAGGCCAGCAAGGTAAAGTGTTGTTTTCCCCTCTCCASAGCAGCAGGGATGGAATTTAAAAGCCCCTGGCAGCCCTCCAGCCGTTCCTCTGGAGCCAGGCTTCCCACTCCTTGTCTCCCTACCCCRGCTTTTTGGCTTGCAGCAAGAAAAATGCCCGTGCTGATGCCAGGGAAGGAGGGCAGAGTCTGAAAGCACAGCCTGGCACGTTCCCTTCCTGAGCTGGGTGATTCCCTGAGCTGGGAGAGCCCCTGGATGGGAATCTCTGCCCACACATSGGGAGCTGGCAGCTCCAAGGGGCACAGGAGGGAGAGAAAAGCACCTGCAGAGAGCAGTTCTGAGCCTGGAAAGGTGTTCTGGATTGGTGGGATGGTCACTCCCCTGAAGTGAAACCCGCCCTGCTCAGCCCCTTTTGCTGCACTCCCAAAGGCAGGCAGGATGCTCTCAGAAAAACAAGTAACTCCTGGCCACAGGCCAAGTGGAAAAAASCTCAAATTTGATCATGAAATGGGATTCRGATSTAATAASRGATAGGAATCCCAAACTGCCCTCTCYGTAGCACCTGTCTGTTACCCACTGAATAGGAATCAAACTTTTCTTGAGAGATGAACAACTAGGAATAGTTCTGGATGAGTGATGCAAAAAAAAAGTCATGCAAAAAGTTGTGTATCATGAGGGTGATACAGAGCATTGCACATCCCTGCAGGAAGGGCTGGATTCTCTTGCTGAGGGGAGATCTGAGCTCTCCAGGACCCTCAGGCAGGATTTCCCCAGTCCCATCTCCATGGTCACTTTTGTAACAGCCACAAACCTTCACAYTTAAATGCATTTAAATTTAAATGCATTTAACTGCAGCTCCTGGCAGTGGTG